CTTGTTGGCGGCTTGTACGACTCCATTAATGTTTAGCCTATATGTGGTAGAGTTTCGGTGCTTGATTTTGAATGTTTCACACATGGCTCTTATCAGATCACTATTGAGATTGGCAGCATTATCGGTGATGATTGATTCAGGCACCCCAAATCGGCAAACAATATGATCCCGAACAAAATCTGTTACAACCTTGTTAGTCATAGCTTTATAGGAAGCGAGTTCAACCCCATTTGTAAAGTAATCTATCGCCACCAAGATGAATTTGTGTCTGTTTGAAGCAGCGAGTTCAATTGGTCCGATGACATCTATGCCCTAGGCGAAGAAAGTCCATGGTGAACTTGTTGCATTGAGTTCATTAGGTGGTACCTGTATCATATCAGCATGCACCTGGCATTGGAGGCACTCCTATGCATATTTGATGCAGTCCGTCTTCTTGGCTAGAACAAACCCATTCATGTGAGGTCCGCAAGTTCTGCCGTGTATCTGTTCGAGCAACCAAAATGCCTCTTTGGCATTAAAACATCGCAGCAAACCCAAATCAGGAGTCCTTCTATACAGAACTTCTCTGCTCTGAAATAAATGGATGGCTAATCTTCGAAGTGTGCGCTTCTGGGTGTGTGTAGCATTTTCTAGGTACTCTACTTTTTCCAAATACTCCTTGATGTCGTGAAACCATGGATTTCCGTCGAAATCTTCTTCAACATGAGCGCAATAAGTCGACTGCTTATGGATTTCTATTAGAATGGGATCAATATAGTTCTTGTTTGGATGTTGTATCATGGAAGACAAGGCAGTCAACACATCTGCAAACTCGTTCTGAACTCTCGGAACATGTTTGAACTCTATCTTTGTGAACCTCTTGACCAAGTCTTGTACGCAGTGTAGGTATGGCAATATCTTGGCATTCTTGGTGGCCCATTCTTTGAGTACCTAATGTATAAGCAAATATGAATCTCTGATTACTAGTAATTCTAGAATATTCATGTCGACAGCCAACCTGAGTCCCAAGATGCAAGCCTCATTTTCTACCATATTGTTGGTGCATGGGAATCTGAGATTGGTGGATACCGGGTAATGTTGACCAATTTTTGATACTAGGATAGCTCTGATGCCCACTCATTTGAAGTTTGCGGCTCCATTGATAAACATCCTCCAACCATCATATGCTTCAGCAATGCCTTCCCCTATAAATGACACTTCCTCGTCAGAAAATATGTCTTCAATGGTTTGTATTCTCTGTCTACGGGGTTCTCTGCCAGGTGATCGGCTAATGCTTGCCCCTTGACTTCTTTCAGAGTCACATAGATGATGTCGAACTCACTCAATATTATTTTCCATTTTGCTAGCTTACTTGTAGGCATGGGCTTCTAAAAGATATATTTTAATGGATCCATCCTTGATATAAGGTATGTGGTGTTTGCACTGAAGTAATGTCTCAATTTCTAGGATATCCATGTTAAGGAACAACATGTATGTTCCAATAGAGAGTATCAAGCTTCGTAAGGTGTGAACTTCTTACTCAGATAGTATATTGCTTGCTCCTTCCTTCCGATTTCGTCATGTTGGCCCGAGATGCAATAGAAGGCTCCATCCAACATAGATAGGTACAATAGTAAAGGTCTCCCGGGCTCTGGTGGGACCAACACGCGTGTCTTGGACAAGTACTCCTTGATTTTATCAAAAGCCTTTTGACACTCTTTAGTCCAACTTGTCGCACCATCTTTCCTCGCCATTTTAAAGATTCACTCACATATTATCATTGATTGTGCTATAAAGTGGCTGATATAATTGAGGCATCCCAGAATCATCATTACATCCTTCTTGCTTTTTGGTGGCGGCAGGTCCTGAATAGCTTTGATCTTTGACGGGTCCAACTCAATGCCACGGTGACTGACGATGAAACCTAGCAATTTCCCGGCAGAGACAACGAAAGCACATTTTGCCGGATTCAACTTTAGGTTGTACTTCTGTAGTCAGTCGAAAAACTTTGTCAGGTGTGCTATGTGATCCGAACTCCTCTTAAACTTGATGATGATGTCATACACGTACACCTCTATTTCCTGATGTATCATATCGTGGATAAGAGTAGTCATGGCCCTCATGTAGGTTTCCCTAGCGTTCTTTAAACCAAAAAGCATCATTTTATAGCAGTATATCCCATATTGTATGATGAAGGATATCTTTTCGGCATCCTCTTCGCCCATCCAAATCCGGTGATATCCTATGAAACAATCCAGAAAGGATTGGAGTTCATGCTTGGTCCAGTTATCGATCAGTATATGTATGTTGGATAACTAGAAATCATCCTTAGGACTTGCTCTATTTAGATATTGATAGTCAAAGCACACCTTGACTTTCTCGTCCTTCTTTGGTACCGGGACAATGTTGGCTAGCCAAGTTGGGTACTCGACCACCTAAAGGACCTTGGCTTTGATTTGCTTGGTAACCTCCTCTTTTATCTTCAAACTCATATCTAGCTTGAAGTTTCTGAGCTTCTACTTTACCGGCAGATACATAGGGTTCATAGGTAGCTTGTGGGCCACTATGGATGTGCTCAGTCCCGTCATGTCGTCATAGGACCATGCAAAAATATCCTCATTTTCCCTTAGAAATCTGATGTACTCTTCCTTCTCTGATGGTGACAGATGAATGCTAATGTGAGTTTCTTTGACTGTTTCAGAATCACTTAAGTTAACTGCCTCTATTTCTTCCAGATTGGACTTTGATTTGTTCTCAAAATTATCTACTTCTTTGACAATTTTCTCAGGTATTACATCATTTTTCCAATCTTCTGAATCACTTTCCTCATGTTGTGTTGTCTCGTTAAATGTCACAGTCATAGGTTCAATATGATATGTAGTAATTATGCTGAAAAAGAATGTCGAAAGATAATAATAAAATAATCCAAAAGCAATGATGCATTAATTAAAACTTAAAAACATTAAAACAAGTACGACTCGATGTCTCAAGTAATTATTTCAAAACAAAACATTGAAAATGGCTTAAATGCCAAAACGATTTTAAAAGAAATAATGCTAGTTCTGCCAAGGCTACCCAGGTGCTCGGCGAGCCCGGGATGGTACAACGGTCTAGTTCCTGAGAACAGCTCCATCTTCTATGATCTGAATGGTAAAGTCTTCCTCATCTTCCTCCAAGAATGCACTGCAGTCCATATCTTCCTTGTCCAGATATAGATTCTTTATGCCGGCCAAAACCTCATCTTCCTCGGGTCCCCAAATCACATAAGTCCGGCGGAATGTCTGGTGTAGAGTAGAAGTCACGCCATGGTGGTATTCAATCATTATATTCTTGCACGGTGTATTCATATCCAAGAGCAAAGGTTGTGCCATGGTATTGTGGTCGTATCGGTTCTGTGATCCCTTGAAGATTAGGACCAAGACCTTTGCCCGGTTCATATCCTAACCAGAGTAGCATGCTCAGTACATTGTTGCTCCACCATCTCCCTTTCTCGACTGCGTTTATCCGATTAATGTAGTGGAATGTCTCTCCTCCTAATTTCCTTTTATTCTCAATATTTGGCATAGTCTGGTTGGTGTAGATGGGGTTACCTCCATCTCCGTGGATAATCACCTCCTGATGGTTCAACTCGAACTTCACGGCCTGGTGCAGAGTAGAAGGAACTTCCCCAGTGGCATGTATCTATGGTAATACGAGTAACAGGTTATAGGTAGCGGATATATCCATCACCTGGAACTCAATATCGAACCAGGTTAGGCCCATCTTCATATCCAGGTTGATCTCTCCAATAGTAGCTCTCTGATACCCATCAAATACTTTCACGTTCATACTTCCCATTCGCAGACCTATACCTAATCTTTTTAGAGTAGTCAGCGGGCATATGTTTAGACTTGAACCCCCATCAGAACCCTAGCAATGAACTTGTCTTCATATTGCAAAGTGATGTGTAGTGCTTTGTTATGACTCAACCCTTCTGGAGGCAGCTCATCTTCGTGGAAAATAATTTTATGACTCTCCATCACCTGCCCCACCATGTTTTCCATCTCTCCATTAGTGATAACAATAGGTACGTAAGCTTCACTTAACACCTTCATCAATGCATTCTTTTGTGCCTCTAAATTTTGCAACAGTGACAAGATGCATATTTAGGTGGGAGTCTTGTTTAGGTGATCAACAACAGAGTACTCCCTCGCATGTACCTTCATCCAAAGATCATCAGTACCTGTTTCCACAGCAGGTGGCTTCGGTGAGGTCTCTTTACTCGTTCCTCCAAGCATTTTCGGCGTGTAAACCCTGCCAGTTCTGGTCATTCATTTTGCAGCACCCGTCTCTACCATCTTGGTTTTTCCTTTTCTCCTTGCCTGCGCTACATAATCCCATGGAACAGCATTAGACTTTTAGGATGGTGTTGGAGACACCATTATAGTGAAAGGCGTAGCTACCTCAATCTCGAATGATGCCTTGGTCTGTACCACAATCGGCGAGAGGATAACATGAGACGTTTTGGGAGTGTCTCCCTCTTGGATAAGCCCGATGGAACCTTCCTGGTCATATTCTTCATCAGTTTCTATCATAATTCACTCCTTCACCCCTTTGATGAGGAAAAGGGTTATTACAGACATTCAGCGTAGACTCATTCGCTGTATAACCTATATTTCAATCAGTGTCTGGATCTTATCTTTCAATATGCGGCATTCCTTGATAGTATATCCCTTTATGCCTGAGTGGTAGGCACAAGTCTTGTTGGGGTTGATCCTCTAAGAAGGATTTTCAATAGTTGCTGCAGGAATGGGAGTGACATAACCAGTGGCCTTCAGTCTCTCATATAGTTGGGTTATGGGTTCGGCAATAGGGGTGTATTGTCTAGGAGTTCTACGGTCAAAGTTTGGTCGTGGTTTTGGGTAGATTTGATGGGCGAAAAGAGATGAATGGTAATATGCAGGCTGGGCATTATAGGTATGAAAGGTAGTGGCGGGGTAATAGTATTTTTGAGGTGAGAGTTGATATGTTGGTGGGGGTGTCTAATACGTAAGGGGAGATTTAGGGCCCCCGGCTATCATCACGGCACTCACTTCCTTCTTCTTTGAAATGCCTCCGGACTTTAAGGATTTATTGGTGGCTTGAGGTGCCTCAAAATTAGTCACCATACCGCTCTTGATTCCCTCTTCTATTCTTTCTCCTATGTTGATGATGTTGGAGAACTTATGGTTCTCTATAACCATCAATCTTTCATAGTATTGTGGATCCTGAACTCTGACAAAGAATTTGTTAATTTTTTCCTCTTCTAGTGGCGGCCTCACCTTGGGGGCCTCTGATCTCCAGCGAGTAGCATACTCAGTGAAGGTTTTTGTTTGCTTCTTCTTGAGGTTCTGGATATAGAAAATGTATGGCACATTTTCAGTATTGAACCTGAATCTATTCATGAAGTCAGAGGCCATACTTACCCAGTTCTCCCATTTCTTTGGATTCTGACTAATGTACCAGGATAATGCATCCCCGGTGAGACTTTGCATGAACTGCTTCATGCAGATTTGCTCATTCTTTCCCACTTCTACAAGCTTAACACAGTAGGTCCTTAAATGCACACTAGGATCACCGGTGCCATCGAGCATCTCAAACTTAAGAAGTTTGTAACAGGTCTTCATAATTCAAACCTTCAACACTTTTTTCATCTTCAACACTTTGGACTCTTCCTGTCAACTTCTTTAACTATTCAACCATATGGTCTTGAGAGGGTTCGGGGTTGTGATATTGATGCGTTGTGAGAGTATTTTGTGGAGCTATGGGTGGTGGATTTTGGGTTTGTATTTTTTGAGGTGGTGTTTGATTTTGGGTGGCGGTGTTCTGGTGGTTGATGTTGGGGACATTCAGAGTAAGGGAGAGGTTTACGAGGTTTCAGACCTGATCAAGCTCTAGCTCCAAGATTTTTTGCTCCAACCGTAGAACCAACTCATTTTGTCCTGGCGTACTTCTTCCGTTTGAAGTTTCTCTGCTATGGTAGCATTATCTTTTCGAATACCGCTCAAATCATCCATCTTGACTTTGACTTTGACTTTGATTTTTCTTTTGGGGTCGCTAGGAGGAGGAGGGGGTGGAGGACCTCTGGATCTAGTATGGTATGTTGATAATGCTAGAATGCACGAACCAACCTTTGAGAATGGGAATAATCAAATAAAGGTAACCAAGTCAGTAAGAAGAAATGAAAGAGTGCTAGCAATATTTAAGTAGGTGACACATAAGGTCATGCAATAATTCGCTTCCTAATTCGGGGACTTCATTAAGCCCGGGGTAGGCCTAAGCGAGACATAGACTTAGAGAAAATTTATGCCAATGTTGCCTCATTCCATTAATGCAAAAATAAATCAAATCAATTGTTACTAAATAAAAATAACAATATGAAGTCACTAATGGCACGAAGCCTTATTACATCAAAATCTAACAAAATCTAACTAGAAAGCAATAAAGAACATTGTCTTCTAATCTATTTGGCCCCATAAGGACCTTCTCCATTCTTTGCTCTTTTAACTCCATCAATCACACTTCCTAGGTAACGCATGTCGAGCAGAAAGTAAGTCATCACCAACTTTCCTCCTTCATCGTAGCCCATACCTTGACAATCCCAAAGCCTCTTTCTCATCTTCCCCTCCTGCTCTATCAACCTTTGCTCTTGGTGCTCCAACCTCTCTTTCGACTTGTTCGCAATCTCCTTCATTCTTTGGTCCCCTCCATATCAACCTTATGTTGTTCTAGATGCTTGGCTTCAGATTTGAACACTCTTTTACGTAGCCTCTTGTACTTTACATGTGCCTCAGCCACCTCATCTATGATTTTGTCTTTCAGATTGACCCCCGATTTGACGTCCTTGGTTATGTCGTCCTCCAACCATGAGAGGTAGTAATACATATGATCAGCGTGGTACCTATCTAGTTCAATAGTCTCCCCATCTACAATGATCTTTTCGTTCCACATGTGTTGGGCCTCAAATTTAACTGGAATAATATCTCCTATAAAGTCTGCTTTATATTGAACCATATTGGAAACTCAATGTATGACCTTCTTCTTCCTAGCTTGCCTCATTACCCTTATAAGAGTGTAAGGGTAAATGCCTCGTAACCCAATGAATACAAAATGAGTGGTCTTTTTGGACCTGATGATGAATTCTCTACTAGGAAACCACTCAAACATTCAATGCACTTGTTCACCCATCAGATTACTGAAGAAACGTACCCAACCTTAAGCATTCCTAGGCTTCGCAAACCTATCTGGAGCAAATGTCATCTTCTTTGGATGATGACTGGTTATGTAGTCATTTATTGGTCTATGCAAGAGATCTTGCGGTAATCTCCCATCTGAAAATGCTCTAGCAGCCAGACCTGTAGTACAAGATTGCAAACCTCGAAATGTCCAAAACCATGTTTGCACCGACCCAAGGCTCGGGACATCTCAGCTAATATTATAGGGATGATGGTGTATTTCTACCCCTCGATACCTTCTATCATGATCCTGGCGACCATAGCCATGCGAATGTGAATTTTTCCTCCTTGCATTGGAAAAATCAGCAAACCTAAGAAGCAAACTATGAAGACATAAACTCGGTGGTGGACCCATCCCAAAGAGGTAATAGCTAATTGTGCGTGATGAACGTGGTAAGACTTGTTGTGCCCATAATTCTCATAGAGAAACTCAAAAGAGATGTAGGATTTCTTCAAGAAAACTAACTCGTCATTCTTCTTGACCCTAGCATTTTCAAAAAATCGCATGGAGCGTGATTTTCTTGTACCAATAAACCCGGACTATCCCATGGCAATTTGGCGAAACCCCTATCTCTTCTAGAAGAGAAGTCATTTATATATTGCCAAATCGGAAGACATCTCTCCTTTCATCCCAGAACATAGTAACTGCCTCAATTAATTCTTTATTCGGTCGAATGTTCTGCAAAGATGGCAAGTTACCCAACACCCTTCTCATGTGGTTTCTATCACATGGTGCAAGATCATTCCACCAATCAATCAGCAGAGGTGGGATATTCTTGATCATGGCAAACCTGGAAATTTTGTGCTTTATTTTCTGCAAACAAATAAAGGTTAGTCCTTTCCCACTTCAAATTTGACTATTTACGCAATAACGGTCAATATATTGGCACGTTTTCTCCAAGTATGCACATAACATGATTGTGTCCTTTGGGATTGTAGTAATCCCCTTGGACTTTGGACAAGGTTTATCTAAGTGGATTAACGTGTTAATGACCTTTCAATCAATACTAGGTTTAACATGATGCATGTGCATTTCAAATCAGAGTGGGGTTTCAAGAAGGGTCTAGACTGATACTCTCAAGTGGACGACTTGAGAGGGAAAGGTACGGGATCGTCGACTGCACCGTTGATCGACTAGTCTACCGCTAATAAACCTTTCCGGTTTAAAAAATGTATTTTAGGAAAGCGCAAATACTCATCAAGCGTCGCTATGTTAATAATAGGCACGAGTGGAGTATGATGTTGAAAGCATACTTTATGTGATAAATAATGACATGTTGCTAGGTATTTTACATGATGAAAGCATGTAAGAATAGTAAATAATGCGCTAAAGATAAACAAAAGAAAGAAGGGAAAAATAAAAGACAAAGGAGAGAAGTTAGCATAGCTTACGAAAATGTTTGAGAATGCAATTAAATGAAGCAAATAGGGGAGATAGGGACGAGAGATATATGATATAGTAATTTTAAGAAAATAAGGGAAATAGGGTGGGGAAGTACATGAAAGAAGTCAAATAATCCAACAATCCACACAAGTGAAAATTTCATTATGGTAAGAGCCTAAGTATGTTCCCAGCAGAGTCGCCATGATGTCGCGCCCTGTTTTCTTACGAAAGCGGGTTTTGACATGTGACAACTCTTTTAAATGGGTATTAAAAAGAGAAGAGTCGCCACCTAACAATTTTAAGGTGCGTTAGGGCATCTATTTGCAAATAACTATGTTTTAACTAGTTTGTGTTACCAAAGATCGGGTAAAGGCTTAGATTACCTCGAAGAAAAGGTGTTAGGCACTATCTAAGGTCCACAACTGTGGGTCCAGGATAAATTTTACACTATGTGAGATTATTGAATTAAAATTATCCTATGTGATGATATAAGTTAAAGTAATATAGGGAGTCTAGTTTACAATACAAAAAAAATGCACATAAGAAAAGAAAGCAGATTATTATTATAAATAGGTATACAATCCTTGAAGATTACAAGATATGGCCTAGGTTCAAACAAGCGTACAAAAAATAACGAATTGGGGGGGGGGAGAGGTCCTAAGTTTTTTATCCTAAAGGATCACCCCATTAAACATAAATAATACTTCTCAACTCCCTTAAAGGTAAGGGTTGCTCATATTATTCAGCGGGCACAAACTATCATCTCCTACTACCCAATTACTATTTTAAAGTTGTTTACCTAAAGCGTTCTAGTTCAATTCTAAATCACGTCCTATGCGTGCTTTACCCGTCCCATACCTATGGTCTAGGAGGCTTTGGACCTACTACTTTGGTAGTTCTAGACTTCACTTAGGATGTTCAAAAATGATAAAACTAGGCGCATAATTAAAACAATTAGGACTGCACATAGTTAACAATTAAAGGCTCAAATTGACCTCCACACATAGGCACAGATGCATGCAAAGAGTCATGAGTTTATGCTACAGACATTACAGATTATGAAGTGAACGACTATAGGTAGGCATATCTGAAATTGGAGCACTATTGAATGGCGCAAGACTTATAGGCATGATTTCTATGTGGTTTATTGATTCAATAGTTGACATAAGATAATAAAAAGTGTTGATTTAAAAGATGGTTCGTTATAACCCTGTAGGAATGATCTCTAGGTGACTTATGACTGGCCTATGGAGTCATTGAAAGTGCATAATTATTAGTCTTGGAGCCAATAGATATGATTTCTAAATGAACAGTGAAACCCTATAGGAATTATATCTAGACAGTAATATCCAGGCAGCAAAGTAATTAGGAATGGAAACTTGTTTTACTTTATTCCTATAGGCATATTATCTAGGCAGCAGTATGATGAGGACAGCAGTAGCAGCAATCTTAATTAAACACATTGAAGTCCTATAGACATGGTTTCTAGATGAACGGATTCGGGCAATGAAGTTGTTTGAAACGCAAGTTTGTTTCATTAGTCCTATAGCCATGCTTTCTGGGTGAGCCACATAATTGCAAGAGGTATCAATGTAAATAGTTCTTGATTACTCAAACGAGATCCTATAGGAATGTTGTCTAACAACGCGTAGAAATAGAGCATGTTAAGCAAGTAGCGAATGAAGCATTTAGATCCTATAGGCATGTTTTCTACCCTTTCTTACGAGAATTAAAGTATCGCAGCCCCCACTATCACTAATTCCCCATTATTTGTCATTACATATTATTACAGGCCAAATAAGAATAATACAAACACAAATAAATGACCATAGACCTAGCTAGGACAACTATATGCCCTACATAGATACAAATTAAATCAAGGATTATTTTGGGCTTTCGGCCATACTTGGGGTCTCATGTGTATGAACATGCCCATACCCCGGATAGCTATAGATATGCCTCAAATCCCAGCACCAAACTGGCCTGACAATAAGGCAAAAACCAATTC